ATCTTCATCTCTCTGTCTCTCTGGTTTTTATCTCAGACGATCTCTCCGTCTGTCCATCTCTCTGGTTTTTTTCTCTCAAACCAGCCTCTCCTCATAGCCCTCCTCTTCGTTTTGGTTCCGTTGTCTACCACCTTATCCCACCATTGTTTCCCATCTCCGACCTACGAATCCATCGTTCCTTTGCATGGATTCGTATGACTCCGATTCCGAGATGATACTGCTTGAACAAGGGCTTAACGAATGATGTCCCTCACCTCTTTCAGAGAAATCGAAGGATGATCCTGTTTTGAGGAATGTTGCCATTCACCTAGCGAATCCGACGGCGGACATAAATTTGGAGTCCCAGAGCACCGATTGTCCAGGTTGGACGACATCGACAGAAACTGACCCAGGCTGGCCTCTCCGGAGATTGTTTGGGTCTGATTTGGTGGAGGAAAGCTCTTTCGGGTTTGGCGACACAAACTCCGACGAGGAGGAGGTCAACTCAAAGGAAAGGGCTGGTCCATGGGATGAATTCTGTGGGCATATTCCGTAAGGGGTGATTCCTAATCTCTACTCTTTATTTGTGCATTATTCCGTGGGCATATTCCTTAAGGGATGATTCAATTTATACTCTTTATTTGTGCATTGTTATTGAGTCTATGATTTTGAAAATACTGAAATCTTTGTTAGCAAAATGGGGGCAAATTCACTGTTACATCAAAAAATAAAGTCCTACTCCTCTATGCAAAAATACGGAGTATTTATACATGGTCTTGCAAAAAAATTGTTTTAAATCAAATTTGCACAACAAAATCCAAAAATGCCCGTGTGTGTGCCCCTTTTGTAACTTGGTCCCTTTATTTATGCTTCAACCATTGCTCCTTCATCCACTGCCTGTTGCTCTATTGGTTCTTGTTGCATGTAGTTCATACATTCCCACACTAGTAGTGGGGGAAGGGCGACTAAAACTGGCATCATGTTAAGCCTCTGTAATGACTTCTTGCCTATGTAAACTTGTTCATATGCATTGCCCCCCCTTAACCTTCATTACTTCAATCATGCATAACTGTAAGCTTATGAAAACATGATTCAAGGAATGTGGGTTGTATGTAATGAATGAATCCTTGCAGTTCTGGACAAGTTCAGAAAAATTTATTGTTGACCATTTATCCTTTAAAAAGTGAATAGCCCGGAATAGGCCCAGATCAAGGATAACAACCATAGCAACACCCTTAGCTGTTGGAAGGTTGTCATAGAGCAACCAGACCAAATCACCCTCAATGATGACAAAATTTACCTGTTTTATGGCCCTCAAATGGTCCCCTCGATGATGACAACAAGTCTTAGAGGTCTTCCCTTAGTCTGAGAGGTGTGTACTGTGTCCCTTCTTCTACGAATCCACCATTTTTTTTGGGACCAAAGTGATTGGTCAAGGCATTGTATTTATAGAAGTGTGAAATTTTGGAATTATTGTGGCTCCAAAAGTGAAATGTTGGTGCCACTTTGCTGGGTGGTAATATCTTTTGCCAATAGCTACAGTGCTTCACGTTTTTCTTCTTATGCGTAATAGCTACAATGCTCATTGTAATGGTTTTTCGTTTTTGATACAGTGGTCATTGTAATGGATTTTTGTTTATGCTACAGTGACCTTTTAAATCAACTACAGTGTTTTTTACTTTATTTACAGTACACTTATATTACTTCTTAAACTAGTAAAAAGCCTAACGGGTCATCTAAATAGATACAGAGGGAGTATAAGGCTTTTAAGGGTTATTATAAGTCATAAGAGTATTTTAAAATCTTTTCAACCAGATCACTTATAATTGGATTATTCTTGTCCGTTTTTTCTAAAAAATGTCAAACATATTCAAAGAAATAAATCTACATTGTTAAAATTTAATTATTTTAACAATGTGTCAATTCAGACAATTTGATGTTTGTATACCCCTCTCGACAAAGTATTCAAGTAAGAAAAATGTTGAGTTTTTGCCACTTTTGGTCCCCCAAGTATTGTGTCAGTGACACTTTTGGTACACGACTTTTAATTTTTCCATTTTTAGTCCTCGACTATTGTTCGTGAGACACTTTTAGTCCTCTACTTTCAAATTTCTCACATTTAGTCCTTTGAGTATTATCAAATTGACACTTTTAGTCCTTCTACTATGAATTTGACACAATAAGTGGAGGACTAAAAATGTTTCTACAGCAATAGTTCAAGGACCAAAAGTGTCACTTTTACAAAAGTCGAAGGACTAAATACGGAAATTTTCAAAGACGGATATCAAAAGTGTCTCTCACACAATAGTCGAGGATTAAAAGTGGAAAAATTAAAAGTCGAGTACCAAAAGTGTCACTGACACAATAGTCGAGGGACTAAAAGTGGCAAAAACTCGAAATATGTTATTTGTATACTTTTCGTACACACTTGACATACATTATACTCCCCACGTCCCTTATAACTTTGACAACATTCCTTTTTTTTGTCCAAAAAACTTTGCCACTTTCCCTTTTAATTAATCAATTTGTGACTTCTGTTATTTCGATCTCCTCTGCACAAATCTCTACGACACAATTTTTAATTTATTATTCTACGTGCCGGTCAAACTTGACAATCCTTTTAGGGACAGTGGAAGTATATAATAAATACTCTTCATTTTTATCCTTTTAATTTTACATTATACATCAATCCCTCTTCACCGTTTCCTCCTCTTCTCTCTTTCCATCTATAGAGTCTTCTCTCCTCCCCCACCCTCTTCTTCTTTCTTTTTTCCTTCCGTTTTCATCACCTTAATAGTCTGTAACCACTTCATCATCTTTCACCTTCACCGTATTCATTATCGTTAATCTTCATCACTTCATCCTCATCTTCCACTTTCATCTACCTCCCCTCTCACCTTCACAGTCTTGTATATTCATCATCTCATCATTTTTACCATTATCAACTTCTAAGTTCTAAACATACATGTTAATTTCACAATGTTTCTTATTTGCCTTTTACACTATTTTTATTCGATGAAATTGCGTGTTAGTTTACTTATTGATTTAAAGATAAAACAATTCATATGAATTATGTAGTACTCCCTTCGTCCTATATTTATCTCCTAAAGTACAAATGTCACACGGATTAAGATAGTGGGAATAGGAGTGGACACGGGCCGGTTCGGGCCCGGCCGGGCCTCGGTTCAAGAAGGGGAGGCCCGGAACCGGCCCGGGTAACCCCCGGGTCCGGGCCGGGCCTCGGGTATATTTTTTTTTTTTGGGCTTTTCCTAGTTAACCCCCACCCCTCCCCCTCACCCCCAAACCAACCCTAACCACCTCAAATGGCCCAAAATAACCAGCCCAACCCAAAAACTCAAAAAAAATTCAAAAAAAAAAATTAAAATTGGCCCGGCCCGGGCCCGAACCGGCCGGGCCGGTTCACCTTTTGAAGGGCCCGAGCCCGAACCGAGAATCCACCGGGCCGGGTGGCCCGAACCGCCCAACGAACCGGTTCCCGGGCCGGTCCGGGCCCGCACAGTGGCGGGCCGGTCTGGTTCCGGGCCGGTTGGCCCGGCCCGAGTCCACCCCTAAGTGGGAAATGTGTGGTGGAGAGTTGTGCAAAGGAAAGAGAAATGTGTAAGAATGTGTAAGAATGGTTGTGAGCCACAAATTCTTTGCTAAAAAGAGAAAGAGGAGATAAATTTGGAACAAACCGAAAAGAAAGTACGTAGATGATTCCGGGATGGAGGGAGTACATAATAAGTTTCTTTGAAGATAATAACAAAGTTTTTTTGAAAATTTGCATAAATCACAACTCTACACTTTTGAAAATATAAATTTGATTAGTCTTAGTTTATCCAAAAATGTGACCAACCTAGTTTATGTAATTTAAATCCTCTCTGCCACATGCGTCAACAATTGCCGACAGCTGCCGTTAGAAAAAGCTCACCTGAAGAATGTTCTGTTTTTTTTCCTGAAGAATGTTTTATCTATAAATTATCCAAGCTACTGTTTTGTCTATAATTTATCATAGAGTTGTTTTATACCTTGCTTAGTGTTATAAATTATTTATAGACCTTATTAAAAATATTAATCAAACCGTGTAGCATGTGAGTTGTTTCATTTTCTTTTCACATAGGCATGCATATAAACAATGCCAATCCAGATGCTCCTGGATTTTGAAGCACAGAAGAACGAAGAAGACAATTTGATCTAAAATTATAGGGAAAATGGGCAAATAAGCCCACGTACTAACCAAAAAATATCAAATAAACTTTTATATAGAAGGCTTTGTCCTGCCGTCGCCATTTGGTGCGGTTCCCGCTGGAAATTTTTGATGCAATTTTTGAGCATATTACTCATTAAATGTAGACATGTAGTTTACTCATAGCAAATTTCAACTAAAACTTCCCGGTGAACCGGTTGGTTGGCCGGTTCGAGTCACCCGGCCCGGTGGGATCTCGGTTCGGGCTCAGGCCCTTCAAAAGGTGAACAGACCCGTCCGGTTCGGGCCCGGGCCGGGCCAAATTTTATTTATTTATTTTATTTTTTTTTTTGAATTTTTTTTAAGTTTTTGGGTTGGGTTGGGTATTTTGGGCCATTTGAGGTGGTTAGGGTTGGTTTGGGGGTGAGGGGGAGGGTTGGGGGTTAACTAGGAAAAGCCCAAAAAAAAAATACAACCGAAGCCCGGCCCGGACCCGGGGGTTACCCGGGCCGGTTCCGGGCCTCCCATACCTTGAACCGAGGCCCGGCCGGTTCAAGGCCTGAACCGGGCCCGGCCCGAACCGAGTCCATCCCTACGTGAACTTATTTGCCCCTTTTCCCAAAATTATATGGGGTGGTATGATGGGTTTAGTACATAGAACTATAGAAGAATGGAGTTATCATATGGGGGCTCAATTAAGTATTGAGATTAGAGGGTGAAGTAGACTTTTCTTAAACAAATAGATGAAACTAGGAAAGCTTTGAAAGATGTACTGTGCTAAAAAATAGAATACACAACTTTAAATGCTTGAGCATTGGAACTCTTTCCTATAACAGCAAACAATAATGAGGATTGGTCTTTTAAAATACTAGTATAAAACATGAACAAAAAGGCTGTTCATGGTTCATACCAAGACGAGGAATCTGAATGCTTTCGAAAGACTAAAAATTGTAATTGTAGATAAACTTGAAAGAATAGTAAAATACATAATACAGCTTTGAGTACGTTAATTAATGTCAGGTAACCCATCAAGAAAAGGTAACCCACTAACTATAGTCTATAGTACACAAATTATCCCTAAATTGAACATAACATGTCTAGGGCCTACCTGGCCCAGTATAAAACTACCAACGCTTTTTTGCACCAAGTGGAATCGTATTAGATCCTGATCGGTTTCCAAAGCCACCTCGCCCTCTTCCTGATGCTGACAAATAAAGATGAACCAGTCAGCCCCGTGCCTCCATTTCTCATCAGTATTAATATATTAGACTACATAACCTCTAGGAAGTAAATCAACAATGCATGCATACCTCCAAAGCTGTGACCACCTGAATGTGCCAATGCAGCTAACTGAGGAGGAACAATTTGCTCTGCTTGTTGAAGAATGTTAACAAGCTCTTTGGTGAACTTTGCATTCCCATGGGTAAAAAATGTAAATGCAGTTCCTTTGGCACCAGCACGACCAGTTCTTCCTATCCTATGAACATAATCCTCAAGGCTTGTAGGGAAATCGTAATTGATAACAAATTTTATGTCCTTCACGTCTAAAAAATGAAAACAATAAAGTCAGTCAAGACATTGACAAAAACGAGACTCCCTACCCTTATCCCTGCACTAATAAGATCTAAGTGATTAGGTGTACGATAACACATCCTCATCTACATTGTGCCCACCTTAACCTTGCAGGGATAAGGAGCAGCTCCACCATCACAACTCTGAAAATGAAATAATGAATCCCTAAATAATGTTGTGAGTCAACCGGCTGTCATGACAATGAGCTTGTAAACTGTGGATTGGCAGCATTACCCGCAAGCATGTTCTTTAGAATCTTAATACAAAAAGGCAATGGAATTAAGACAAAGAAACCACTTTGCATATATGTATTCCACCAACAAACCTCTTGGTTCAACAAAGGACAGTTACATAACCCATTACACCTTATATGTCCATGATGTGCATCTCCTCATGAGCTATGAAATTTCACCAAAACGTCACACAAATTCAAGTACACAATTTACCCTAATTTTCTTTTATATTTACTACACTCATCTTTTGATAATCCCTCGTATGGATTGAAATCTTCCATCGCAAAAATTAAGATTGATATGTTTTTATTATACGTCACAGGCTTGGGGAAGAACAGAATTGAGTGGAAGAGGAAAAAACAGGGGGGTATTTGAGGGATAATTCATGGATTTTCTGAAGATCTTAACTCCCAAATTGCCTTCCGGAATATATATATATATATATATATATATATATATATATATATATAATAACTTCCGCTGGATAGTCGTAATTGCTCCATGTTATATAGAGGTGATACTTAAATCCTGGTTATGTAAGCTACTAATACCAATTGTAAATTGTATTATAGAAAGTACTGAGAAAATAGGACACAACTAAAAATAGGAATTTAGCTAATAATCAGAGATAGGAAAAATCTTTAAATCATGGAAGTGGCCCACATTCCCTTGGCATGAATGCCTTGTGCGGTTGTGCCCCAGATTTTGGCACCACCCAGGCAACAAGCTTGTCCTCATCTTGAAGGTGGGAAACCACATGCGGAGGTCATCAGGAATCTCCGGCCAGAAGACCACCACAAACAATTAAAACTTCAGTAGGAATGGACCAGCAGCAGGCGGGATAACCACTTTCTACATTTTGAGCTTGGAAATATGGAAAATAGCATAAATTTTGAAGCTGTCGGAATGGCGAGAAGGTGTACTCTGTAGGCAACCCTGCCAATGCACTCCAAGTCTAGAATGGCGAGAAAAACAAGGGGAGAGTCTACGAAACTGGCGGAAAATGACCAAATGCTGGTCATGCAGTATCAATTGAACCCAATCAATTAACCAATGTCGTAGCTCAAGTCGCGGTGGATGCAGTTGTACAGCTTATCAATGTGTGATTGAGCTAATTGGAGTAGGTAGCAGCATGCATTCCTGAGGGTCTCATCCCGAGTCTTCAACTTTTCATCCAATGCATCCAGAGCAAGAAGGTTGGGTTCGTGCGATGGTGGATGGGGATAAGGGTGTCAAGACACTGACCGGAAAGGGGTAGTAGAACAGCAGTATGGAAAACAGTGATGGCAAGCCCAAACAGAGGGATTGTATAGAGGTTGGATATAAAATAATTGCAGCCATGGCAAAACGGTAATATTATTACAAGACCCGCACTTGCCAGTTTGTTCTTTTTGTCCACTGCAACCGTCATAACTGGTTGATGACAGGTTGGTAGCAGTAAGACATGGAACATCTGTGCGGTTGAAATTATCTGAGCTGCCACAATCCGCAAGTGCCAACAGTGGTTTCCCACACTTGTGAGTTGTGACTCTGATGTGCACCATAGGTGTTTACTCCCACGATGAGCATGGATGGAGATGCCTGCTACAGTAAGACGGTGATGGAAATCCTAGTCACAATTTATGGCACATTCCACATCGAGGTGAAGGATCACGCAAGTACTGCGGTGAAGAGATTGTGTGAGCCTATGAGTGCTTGAAGTTTGAAATATAGTCATTGAGGTTGGCCAACATACCAAAAGAATTATTTCAACGCTCAAAGGATGCAAGAATGCTGGAATTGCAGATATGTGAACAGGACCACAACTGGGCTTCACCTGTGAGATTGTGTGGAGTGCAGACTTCGTTAAAATAATCTAGGGCCCCTCTATGTAGTGTCTAAGGATGGAAAATCCAACTTATGGAATGGCTGTTTATTGGGGATGATGTTAGCAGCAGCTTGGATTATAGACTTATAGATGTTTGGGCTATTGCAGCAATGTTTCTGTGACAAACAGGCAGAGAGGAGATTTCCACAAATTGGACAAAAATACCCTTATAGGGTTGGATGTTGTTGACAAAAATACCCCTATAGGGTTTGGAGCAGTGCTTCAGCCACAACGCCGGACCGCCGCCGCCGGTCGCCAGAGATTTTTCTGCTGCCAGAATGTCGTCGCAGCCGGAGTTCCTCAGACGCCGGAGAGGTGCCGCCATGAACAGACTGACCTGGTTATGATAGGGAACTAGGAGAGCAATTAATTATATTAGGGGTGGAAATGTAATGTTTTGTCCTATTTAAGGAAAATAAAACACATGGTCCTATTTTTGGAAGATGACTACGTGGTCCTAGTATAAGCAAATTCCTCATATCTGACACAGTATGAGCAGTTTCCGTGATACTAGTTTTTGTAAGTTCTTCACCCATGATGAATGCAGCGGAATCAGCTGGTGTTCTTATTATACGTCAAAAGTTTAGGGGGAGGAAAAGAGGACAGACAAATTTTTGTAGGCTTTCCAGCAGATCCCGGCTCCCTAATTCTCTTTCAGAATATAACTAATAACTAGTATTGAATAATTGTATCTGCTCCATTTTATATAAAGGAGTCATGTATCATGAGTAAGGTACTTCTTACCATCTGTGGACTCTGCATCCAAGTGAGACGAACTGGGTCAATTTTATACCTACATGTCATTATTTCCTCCACAGGAAATAGTATCTGACAAGGGTGTGGTGTCGCTAGTCTTACCTCTACTGCTAGGAGTAAAGATGTTTCTATGAAGACTTGTGAGGGAAACATTGGAAAGTTGTGGAAGATGTTAGAAATTCGGAAACTCTGGAGGAAAAAATGAAAATACAGAAACTTTTTAAACATTTCTTATGAATACAAGGCAAAAAGAAATCAAAAGTTGAAAAGTCATATGTACAGGGTAATGAAAAAACTATTTGGGAAATAAAGACAAGCAATTGCATAACATAAAACAGCTTCAGAAGGAGAATACAATAAAAAGCAGGTGAGTATTGGACTAATGCATTGCCATGCCTATATTTCCCAAGCCTTTAAATTATTCCCAGGAGCTATGAAATTTAATACAATCTACAACTATATGCAACTAACTACTATGGACTAATGCATTAATGATGTGTGCACATGTAGCCAATGCTTTTTTCATTTAATGAAATGTGATTCCAAATGAACTTTGTAACATCTAGCATCAAACATGTACCTACTCTTAAGAAAATCGGTCAACCTCAAGGACTTTGAGGTAGACCTGTTTGAACTTTGTGGTTAAACCAGAACCGGAATCGCTGGTTTGGTTATGATTTCATTTGGAACTGCGGACAGGTCTAGTTGAGGTACTTGCATAATATAGATTAAGATGAAGTGAAGAACTATTAGGTTTTTGCAAAAAAGATATTTTCAAGTTGCAAGAAGCTTAGGTGTCCATGACTCTTGTGACCCCAGTTGCACCCAGCATGTGCACATACTATATCAATGATTTATTGACTTAATGTTCTTCCATCTTCACGTTGATATCAGAGAAAGACTATCACTATTTCCACGTTTCAACTCTGTCCTTAGTACTCCCTCAGTCCCATGTTTGCTTCTTAAAAAGGAGAGTGGACATATTTGCCCAAAAACATTAAAGGAAAGTGAACTTGAATATTGGGACAGTGGAAGCAATTCTCTAAGCACTTGCTCCTACCAAGAGAGATTCGGTCATGCCAGCATTCTCTAGAATCTACTCATGAAACAAATTATTAGTGGTTACCACTTACCAGTTACCACGAATGAGGCACAGTCCAAACTATTTCTACCAAACCCACAGATTATATCCTTAGGAAAGCGGACAACAGCCGGGGACTCCTCTACGTATCGGATGAAAGACCTAAGATCAAACACTATGTATATTATATATCTTCCTAATTTTAAGCATTCACAATCCTACCAAGACCACGCGCAGCAACATCAGTGGCAATCATAATAGGACTTCTGCCACTTTTGAATTCGGCCAGAACCCAGTCCCTTTCATCCTGGTTTTTATCACCATGGATGGATAGAGCAGGCCATCCATCCATTCTTAGTTGCCTTGTGATCTGATCACATCCTTTCTTTGTCCCCACAAATATCAAGATTCTGCTTCCATCCATTACTTCTTTCAGAAGTCCACTCAACCTACATTGTGCAACAGGAAATGCAATATAAGTAAAGAAAGAAAATAAGGGTCATGTAGCAGATCTCATCATTTTAAGAGATAAATGTAAAACTCGATTTTCTCACGTAATACCTGTTGTACTTCTCCAAATCTGTAACAACTTCAACAATTTGCCTTATAGATTGATTAGCTTTCAAAACTGGGGACCCAATGACCACCTGAAAGATTAATATCAAGTATCAACCAAGTCAAAGTTGCCAATAAGAACATATGCAACATAAAATAGTGGGCCAAACCTTTAATGGATTATGTAGAAACTGCTTTGCTAAACGTTCAACCTCCTTTGGCCATGTTGCACTCCAATACAATGTTTGTCTGTCAGGTCGAATCTGCATTTATTGGATAATAGTCCCTACTTCAGGAGAGTCCATATATTTAAGAAAAATTGTGCATAAAATACATTAACATAGCTGTGGCCTGTGGGTGTGCGTACTGTGTAGGGATTTGCTCCAATGCCAAATTGGCACGCTGCTAACCAAGTTTTACGTAGTTGAACATTCAAGCTTTTAGCATAATGTACAACCAATTAAAGGTTTCAGCACCATACTGATTTGGTAAGAGCGCCTTTTTCAAATATGAATGTGTGTATATGCATATGTATGTGTATGCATATATATTTAAATAAGGAATGGCTCTAATGTCAAATGGTCATGTCCGCATGGTGCCGAACAAGCATTAAAAGATTGTACAATGTACTTTTAGCACAACAGTGCCAGCTTTTTAAACATTGTACAGTGCCGGTTTGGCATGAGAGTTTTTCTTATACACTCCGTATAATCTATGATATATACATCCACACCCACATACATATATCATTGTGTGTGTATTAAAAGCCGCATAGACTCCAGACTTAAATGTAACTAAAAGTCCAATTCTTGAATAAATGATTTCATGCATCGGTGAACATTAAATGATTTCATAAATGTATATTAAGCTTTCTTAGCCCTGGAACTTTCATTTATACAGAGAGTGGGGGACATAACATACTATAAACATCGGGGCAAACATGTTCCATGAACATGGTGAGACCAAGGGTATTATATTAAAATCAAATTGAGAAGGCCACCTGGCATTTTGGTGTAAATGAGAACCAAATGAAATTTCTTGGGGCTATTTTTGTTTGGGCAACAAATCTCTGGGGATAAAATTAAACCCAAGGTCAAGTGGTCAACATAATGAATTTTCTCCATTAGGCAGTCCACCTACATAAGCATTTTGACCAATACCCAATGATATTAATAGATTTTAGTTTACTTATCAGCAACCACTCAAATTGTATAGTAATTGAAAATGGGAACTCCTTCTCCAAATTACCTTCTTATTTGCTTCATCCACACTTGTCAAAAAAATGAAATTGTGTTGTTAAGAATGTTTTCACTTGAACTCTAAGTCTGATCTGGCATGTTTACGTCGGGTATGGTTTTGTTTGTTGAAGGTCCGGTATATATGTATTTTACTATTGTCTAAGTTTTGGGACTAAGGCTTGGATGTTGTTGTACTATTGTCTAAGTTTGATCTGATCTGTTTAATTCGTGTTTGGTCTGAAACAAGCCCAAGTGAAAACAAATTAAGAATTCTTTTAAAATAAAATAAAATATACGGAGTATCGATCCCACAATTCCTCCTTAAAAGAAAATAAAAAGAAAATTTTGCGGAGGTGAAAAGAAAAGTGAGAAGAGCTACTTTGGGAACAAAGGAATAAGCACATAAATGATAAATTACTATAAATAGTTTAAGAAAAACATGCAGAGTTATAATGATGAGAATTTGAAAGGATAATATCATAATACGTTATCCATGCCTGGTCAACAATTTTCCTAATTTGAGGCTCAAACCCCATATCCAACATTCGATCAGCCTCATCCAAAACAAGATAAGTCACCCTTTTCAAGTTTGTATGCCGAGCGTCTAGCATATCTATCAGCCGACCAGGAGTGGCAATCACAATTTCAACTCCTGGCATAGAATAAAATTTTCAAACACTTTCACCTGTCTCAAGCCATATGATTTCTAGAATAGAGGGTAAATATGAATAAATTTATGAATTATGACTTAAAGGTAAATACCTCTTTTAAGATCACGTACTTGGGGTCCCTTTGGGGCCCCTCCATAAATACATGTGCTTCTTATATTTTCATGTGACCCAAATTTAACAGCTTCTTCTTGAATTTGAACAGCTAATTCTCTTGTAGGTGCTAACACTAGCACAATGGGACCATCACCTTGCACTAGATTTTTATGAAAATAACATAAACGGCTGCTCACGCAAAGGTAATGCTAGGTTTAAAAACAATAACAGAGAATGAGAAGAGTACTGACCCAACTGTGGCTGTGCGCTAATGTGAACAAAAGCAGGCAGTAAATATGCCAAGGTTTTCCCAGAACCTGTTTCTGCAATTCCTATCAGATCTCTGCCCTTTAAGGCCATTGGCCAGCCTTGTGATTGTATGGGAGTTGGCTCAACAAAGCCCAATCTTGAAATAACTTCAAGACAATATGCTACAAAAGCATAATTAATCAATTAGAAAGATACTTCAAAGAATGCAAAAATAGTTAAAACTGAAAATTAGACACGGTTAAAACAATCTCACTACCAGGAAAGTTTGCCTCATGGAACATTCGAATCGGCCTTGGAATGTCATGGCCTTGAACGGTAATCTCAAGCCTTGCCCGATACATGGCAACCTCCTGCTCAGTCATTGCCATCACCGAGGGGCTCTCTCTGTAGAAGTTCTTTTCAAAGGGCACCAAGTTTCTAAAATCTTGTTTAGGGAGAGAAAGCTTATCCAAATCATCTCGCTGCCGGCCATGTGGCCCATGCCTGCCTCCTATCCCACCGCTACCACTGCGTCCTCCACCATATCCAGATCTCCCACCTCCGCGCCCACCACCGCCACTGCGTCCTCCAACATATCCAGATCTCCCACCTCCGTGCCCACCACGTCCTCCAACAAAACCTCTCCCACCAGCTCGACCCCCTCTACTATTCAGAGAAAATCCCAAACCAGCACCTTCTCCATCTCTGGTCCCGTCACTGACCGGTCTGCTAATACCAGTATGGGAATAAGGGTGCCAGGGATGACCGCCAGCAGCAGGTATAGATCCAGCTACATCCCCCACAACCCTACCACCAGCTGCAGAACGAGCTGGAACCACCAAAGGACCTCCATAAGGAGTTGGGGCAGCACGGCCATAACTCAATGCAGCTCCACCGGCTACATGAGGAGGAACATTACTATGTGGTGGTCCCACTAGATCACTAAAATCAAGAAACACACAACATTCATAAATACCTAATCAGAAACTCTAAAGTATATACAGGTTGAAGATATCCCTACCCTTCCTGCCCTACTTTGAAAATTGCGACATCTCCTTGTCCCGAACTTAGTGCGCCAGGGTATTAATTAAATAAAATTATAATATAACAGATCTTCTACTAATATACCGTACTTCTTCGAGCACAAAAAACATATTTTTATACCGATATGAGAATATGAACAGCCTGTGATAAAAGGGCATTGACGGGATGTACCTTCTGCGTTGACGGTATGAGGCGGAATCAGAGTATCTGGGATCGTAATTAGGGTAGTACATGGTAGCGGCAATCTAGCAGAAGTGCACAATAGATGAATTTGAATCTGTTTATTTATAAATGTGCGTTGAAGAATAAGGAAACATACAGTGAAGTCTTTTGGCCTAGAGACGAACAAGGCAAGGACATTCAGAGCAACTCAAGTTGTTCTGCGGTAGTTTACTACTCCAATGAAACTAAAAAGACCCCTTTGGTGGGAGATTTGGAAGGACAAAGGTGAGAATCTGCGAAGGTCACACAAATTGAAATAAAGTTGGGTCTATTGCCATTTTGTTGACTGAGTCACCGTGATTAATCTCCCCATCATTCTGTCCTTCAACTCTCTTGATCAAATTTTACCACCTCCGGAAATACTGTAACAAAATTAGCATATTAATTAAGTTGTTTAAATGTCAAAATGTTTGGAAAATGATGTTTCATTCAAAAAATAGTGTGTTTCTAAAACATTGTTTGGTAAATATTTATTCAAGTGCGTTTTAAAAACATTTTATTAAGGTATAAAGTATAATAAATTCAAGCTTATATATTTATTAATCGTAACTGATATTGTGTTTCACTCTAGTGGTCTGTTTGGATTGAGTGTTAGGGAGTGTTAGTAATGAAAGTGTTAGTAAGTGTTGATACTAACACTTGTTTGGGAAAAACAATTAAGAAGTGTTAATAAGTGTTAGTAAAGGTTAGGAAGTGTTAATAATAATCTTCCCAACACCTCAATTGTCCACTTTTTTAACACCCCGATTTGGAGTGTTTTGAGGTGTTAGGACAATTATTACCCTTCTCATTTACCCTAAAAACATAAAATGCTTCGACATCTCACTTCGAATCTCTTTGACGCGGGTCTGATGGTCTGCCTTTTTGATCTCTTCTCCTTACTCGTTTCTTCTGGCTCAAGTTAAAATTATTAACACTTCCATTATTAACATTTCATTCATTTGAGTCTCCCAAACAAGGTAAAATTATGTTTAACGCTTACACTTCTCTTCTCTTTTGGGCCCTTACTAACATTCACTAACACTTCCATTACTATCACTTCCAAACACTCCATCCAAACAAGCCCTAATATACTTTGGGAAAACCGGGAAAACCGATCCGAACCGAACTGAATTTTCCGGTTCGGTTCCTATAATTTTGGACTTCATCTTTTTTCGGTTCGGTTCCTATAGTATATGATCGGTTCGGTTCTAGTTCGGTTCCGGTTCCTAGACAGGAACCGAACTTCTTTTACATTGCATGAGTAATCTTCATTTAATTTGAGGTGCTTCTAGGTAGATTTTTTTGATAAAATTTTGTGATCTTGTTTTCAATGAAATATAGATTATGTCCACTAAATTTGAGCTTAAAATTCAACCGGGAAGTTAGTTAAATAAATAAAGTATTGAAAAATACTACATCAAAAACAATATTAAAACACAATGTTTTTCAATATTTTATTCAACTCACTTCCCAGTTGCATTTTAAGCTGAAATTTGGTGGATGAAATCTACACTTCATGTAGAACATGCTCACAAAATATGATCAAAAATTTCTACCTGGAATCACCTCAAATGAAGGTGGTCAGACGACGTTCCAGCCCTCCTGGCAGAAAATTCTTACCAAGAATATTTTTCCTGCATAATATACCTTAGATATTGTGGACCACGCCAATTCAAGTAGTTGTTATTTTACTAATTTAGTCGATTTTTGTTATTTATTACGTAGTATTTGTTTGTGATTGTATTTGTTGTTTGAGTTCACAATAAGGAAATAATATTCCGCTGATTATGTTGTTACTTGTTCATAGTAAATTACAAATATTACTGATCAGTTATTTACTATGTACTTTTTACTTATGATGATGCATTACTAGTAGAAGAATATTATTTTGTGGGTTGAACTACCTACTATTGGATGTGTACCTTGAGGTTATTAAACGTTTTTTATTGATAATTGATGCTTATTTTAAACTTTTATGTTGTTATGTTTAAACTTAATGTTTGCACTTGGATATTTTTGTGATATTTGAAAATTGGAATATCATGTATGTATAATGTAATGGTCATAACTTCATCATTTAAAATTTGATTTTTTTATGTAACTGAAGGTAAAATGTGTTCATTTTAGGAGGATAATAATTTTTTATTAGGAACCGAACAAATGTAAGAACCGAATCGAATTTAACTAGAATCGAACCAAATTTAACAACTACATTTTAAACTAGAACTTAACCGAATTTAGCGCCTATAATTTTTAATACGGTTCAATCGATTTTAACAAGAACCGAACTGATCCCAGACCTATAATAGATAATAGTAGCGTTTTAAGTCATCATTTTGAAATATGTTATTCTGTATTTCTTACTAAATGTTATTGTCAAACCGCTACATAATCAAACACCTTTTTGCAATCCGCCAAATTGTTCTGCTAATCAAACTCATTAAATGAATCTTCTATTAACAATTGCTAACATAATCCACCAAACGCTAAATTCCAAACACGTCCAATCTCATCTAACTTATAAACTAGACTAGAAAGCACCAAACAATCATGTTGACATTCAACATCATCATCATTATCTCAATGGCGCAAAGACTCCCACCTACAATGGGGTAAGGGGATCGGATGTATTCAACCTTACCCTTGTACTAAGCACAGAGAGACTAGACAGACTAATCTTGGATGTTTCATGGGTAAAAACGCGTCAAAATTTGCAAGTAGTGACTCATGTTTCACAACAAAGAAGCGCATATAATATAGTGAAAGAATGACATGGATATAACCGTTGGGCTTTTGAATGACCAAAATATGACCTTTTTTTACTTTTCCAAATATATGATTTAATTTTTTAAAAAAAAGTCTGGAACTCTTCCTTCTCCTGGGCGTCTCACCTCCATCTACATCTCACGGTTCTCGCCTCTTCTTCCGTCTGCATCTTCACCACACTGCCGCATCACGCACCACACCGCACCACCACCTTCTTTCCGCGCTGCCACATGGCGGTCAGACTTCGACGGCGGCGACCGCAGGACTCCAAAGACGTTGCCTAGGCTCTCGTGAAGATGATGAAGACACGAGTTCCGACGTTGCCTGTAACTCTTCATCTTCCAATTTCTTCTACTAAGCTAACTCGCTCCTCTCTAATTCTTGATTGGAGATAAAGAGATTTGAAGCTCCAAAGTCTTCGTCGTCTATCCAGATATGGACCCTCTTTTCACAGCGATTAAGTTACTCGCAGTTTCCAACTTGAGCAGGATGGCGGTTGCTATAGGGCATGGGGTTAGGGTGATGCCAATTTTATCAATTTCCTATATGGATTTAAGGGAGAGGGCTGGAGAAGGTATTGGTCCGGGGGCTACAGTGGGGAGGGGCTGGTCGGGGTTGGTCAGTGGTGGTTGGTGGTCGGTCGGTGGCGATTTGGGTACGTTGGGTCACTGGTGGTGGGCGGCCAGATTTGTGGTTGTAACTGCAGCAGGGAGGGGCAGTGGGGATGGTGCACGCAAGGCCGTGGGGCTGGTGGTCGCCAGGGGATGGATGAAGCGGTGTGGCGGCGGTAACTGGGCGGTGTCGGTGGCAGTGTCATTGTGGCTTGCGGCGGCAGCCAACGGCGGCGATGGCTACAGTGACACGGACAGTGGCTATAGTGACACGGGCGATGGCTACAGTGACACGGGCGGCGGCTACAGTGACACGGGCGGCGGCGGTAGTGACATTAAAATTGGACAATTACATTAAAATCTGGCAATGACATAAATATGACCTTCTTAGTCACATTTTTGTCCTAATATCAATGTGGTCACATTTTTGGAATTTGCCTTTATTTTAGTAATATTTAGGTAAAACCCCTAATATAGTGAGTCATTTTGCTTTATTCTATCATATTTTGAAGTCAAAAAAGAGTGTTTTTGGTTCCATTGCAAATGATGTGTTGACATCTAAACACATTTTATAATTGTATTGTTATTTGATTTCAATAAAGCAGTAAATTATGTTGCTCTTCGATGTAATAATGTACAATAACACTGATATTGTAATATAAATGTCACAATGATACTATTCCAACCCAGGATGAGTGATATGGATTATGTTTATGTGTTTCAGGGCATCTCTAATGTTGAGGTGAATTGTGATTTCATCTCAGTAAATGCACTTGTTAAATACACTTACTTCTCCAATGCAGAAAAGAAAACATGTGTTGCAACTTATATGGCATAGAGCATGGTCTAGCACAAGGGGGTGTTTGATTAATGGCCTATCAGTCATTTTTGGCTGATTTGACCAATATTAGTCTTTTCACTAGATCAATCAGCCAATATGTGTGTTTGGTAAAGTAGCTTTTAAATTTGGCCTTTTGTCCCGAACAGTCAAAATAGAAAACGTCAATAAACCTAGCGTTTACGTATTGGCCGAACCGTTTCCATTGTAATATTCCTCCCATACCCTGCGCCCCTTCTCTTTCTCGCTGCTGACTCTCATCTTTCTCGCTGGCTCTCATCTTTCTCACAGCGAAGCGTCAAAGGAAAATACACGCAGGTTCGTCTTGTTTTTTAAGTTAATAACTCCCATTCTAAACATCATTGCTCATGGAACATGTGAATAGACATCTAAATTGTTTCAAACGGAACACCTAGTTTCAAACGAACCACAAAAGAAAAAAGGAAGTGATCCGTTGCTAATATATGTATAACAGCTACTATAATTATCCCTCTAAAGGTGTTCTGTGATTTTGAATCGGTAGATTATGGTTCTGTGATTTGAGTTTTAGTGTCTTATATATATATATATATATATATATATATAGGGGAGGGTTCAAATATAAAGAGGTCTTCCCATGCAAAGTGAGAATTAATCTCGTGCGTTCATTTCGAGATCTAATGGCTCAAAATAAGCCAAAACTGAACTAAATCTGATCAAAAACGCGGTGGCAATTTCGTAATTAAAACGAAGTTTTTTACCATCACGAAAAGTGCAACAGAAACACGCAAAAGTGCAACGCGGTGCTGAAAAAGTGCAATTGTTTGCACTTTGCACGGGAGAACCTCTTTTTATTTGATCTCTTCCCTAGGAGCTGAGGGTCAACGGCAGAACATCATATATATATATATGATGGAGTATATGGGTCCAGGCCCCAGGACCCACATACTTAGGAGAATAAGAGTCACAGCTTTCACCTAGTAGGACCTCTGTCGGCCAGATGACCTCCATCGGCCAGAAAGACACCAACTCAGAATATGATCTAGAAGCCAGGAGAATCGGGTGTTCCCGTCGACCGGGTCTCCATCGGCCATGCCTCCGTCGGCCAGACTCTCATCGGCCACGGAGAGCTCAGAGAACAAGATTTCATACTTAG